GGTGAAGATATTTCTTTAAGTGCCTAATCCGTGAAATTGAAATATCCCGGCTTTACAAATCTACACTTTTCATTTTCTCCACGATACATTTTTTAAAATTGTTTAAATTTTATCTACATTTGTTAAAATCGGGGCTTTGGTTTTGTGTAAACTAGATCATAAAGTTTACTATAGTTTTGTGTAACCTGATGGCTGAAGAAAATAGTAATTTTGCTAAAATGATGTGCGGAAATTTGTTGCTTTCCAAATCAAATTACTCATACCTATATTTCATTCAAAATTAGGAGGCATTATTACTGTTTTTTTCTTGTAACATGAACTGAGTTTGGGTACGGTGCTCCGGAAACGTTGTGGAACTTTAAGCTAGCTAGAGCAGTTTCCATAAAAATTGTTTAGATAGTTGACATGGCTTGTTGACAACTTTTTGCTGTTTCTAAAAAAGTGAAAACAATATTTTCCTGCATTAAGCACACAAGGCATGTTATTCTCATAAGCTATCGAATGTGTGTGTGTGTTTTTTAAGCTGTTTTTTTTTTAAGCTTTTAAGCTGTAACTTCAGTTACTTCACTTTAGAACATATTGCCCAGAATGCGTCACTGATCATGAGCTGGTATATCATATCATATGTAGCAAATACATAAATGAGAATAGTGTGTCATGAATTTTTGTGCATGCTTCTGGATCATCTGTAATTACATCAAAGGCTCGGCTCAAGAGTGTCCTACCGACCAGCTTATGCCCAACCCTTTCTGTCCGCAGAACGTCGCCTGCGACTCCCGCACGCCGTTTGCCCCGGCCGTCCGTACTGGTCTTCGCGCTGCGAGCCGCGCTGGAGTTCGCGGCGGCGTCGTGGAGCTCCCATCGGGACGGCGTGTGATGCCCGCGTCGAGCTTATAAGCCGTGAGCTTCGATTGGCGGCTCACGCGGTCACCAGCTGTATGTACAGCCTCAGCCCCGACGACCCCGCTAATGGCCGAGACCGGCATACCCCCGGCATGGGTCCGCTGTCCGGCGCAGCGCTGGCCGCCCGCATGCTATGCTACTTTTGGCTGTATCGCTGCCCAGCGGGAGCGCGCTCCACGCTGCGGAAGAGGTACACGTTACGACCCGACTGAGGACTGCAACCGGATGGTGACACGTCGGCCTCTGCGCCCTGGCCGGGGCAGGCGTGACCGACGTCACAGTGGAGGAACGCCCAAACAAGACCAGCCCACCGTCGGAGCAGCATGGAAATATCATGTTCTGCCTGGACGTCGGACCCGGCGGCCGCAGTGCGCCTGCACACGTGCGGAGAGGGGCGCTGGAGGCTACTCTGGAACTTCTGCCATTCCGCGGCGCGACTGCTGGCAAAACGGCGGCGATTGAGGCGGTTGGGAACAGCTGCAGCAATGGTGATGGCGGTGATGGCGACATGGCGGTTTGGGACTTCATCTCAGCGCGGCCGCCGCCCAGGCGCCGCTGCGCCCGGCTGCTCAGCCACCTACCGGATGGCGGGGTGGCCCTTACGGCCCTCACGCCCGTTCGGTCTGCGGCCACGTTGTGGGGTGGCGGTCGCAGGGTTAGCGGCGTTGGACTTCGTCCTTTATCCAGACTGCACCGTACCATCTGAACGGATGGATCTGCCTAGAAAGATGACATCCAAGGCGGCTATGAGGCGATCACAAAGCTTCACCAAGAGCTTCTCCTTCATGGGGCCGGCCGGCCGTTAAGTCGCAACACCGGCTGCCGAGTGCCAACAGCTGCGTGCGCTGGCGCCGACGCGTTGTGGGCCGCGCTGCTGACGCCCAAGCTGCGATATCAACCATCTATGAATAAGTGGCAGCGGTGGCGGCTTGTCAGTTGTTAACGTGCCTTAACAGACGTTGCGAATAGCCCGCGTTGGAATCGCATGGTTGGGAACACAAAGCAAGTAAAAATGGGCTTCCTTGATGAACCTACTTTTTAACCCGCGCACCGACGGGGGTCTGCGCCAACTTAGTACCGACGGGGGGGGGGGCGGATGACCGCCCCCCCCTGAGATCTCGAGAACGAAGCAAGATAGCGACAAGCGGTAAACGGCATCGGATACGCACGGTCAAGATCTACAATTTTTACTAAGGTCATTTTCAGGTCAGGTCAAAGATGACGTCACAGGGGTCGAAAAAGTCAAAATGGCGGCGCTAGATATGGAGAGAGTTTTTCTCGAATAACTTTCGAATTAGTCAAGATAGGAACAAACTAAGGGCATCATCGTGATCCTCTCGTCAATCCGCATCGAATGATATATATGTTGACCTCGAAAGGTCAAGGTCAAAGGTTGACCTCAGGTCACGTGACCTCGAGGTCATCATGTATATCATTCGATGCGTCTTGACGAGCTGAACACAATGAGACCATCCACGCGTCTGTATCTTGTTCCTGTACGGAGTTATTGGCCAAAAACCTTTGGTGACCTTTGATGACGTCACATGACCTCACAGCTGCCCAACAGCAAAACAGACCTCAAGGTAGTGAAGGTTGATCGTATATGAAGTCATGCATGGTATATGGGGCCATTCCGACCCGTTTTAGTGGTGAAAACAGGGAGTTGATTTTTCCCCCATTGACTTATAATGGGGAGGTCGCGAAATTGACCTGACCTTAGGTCACCGATATCAAAATTCCGAGATATACAAATTGTAGCTACTAATGACCTAATAACATCCTGCGACTTTCAAAGGCCTCCGACATCTACTGTAGCTCTGGCACGGTGACAAAGTTGCAAAAAAGTGACTTGAGGTTGGGTCATTCAAAGTGACCTGGTGACCTGACCTTGAAAGGTAGGAGGTTCAAACTTGCACACCATGTGTAAAATTGATAAGGGAATAGTCATACCAAATTTCGCGGCGCTAAGCGCCGCGGTTTTCCCGCTATTCGCGAAAAACCTCAGGGGGGGGGGGGGGCGGATATCCGCCCCCCCCCGTCGGTGCGCGGGTTAAGCATTGTAGCCTTTGTAATTTTGGATGTTTTGCTGTAGATATTATTTTCTACATATATACACCTTTTTGCACTCAAAATAGGCATCTTTTCATTCAATTTCGGCGAATTGCATTCAATTTTAGCGATCTCTCATTTGCTTTGAATAGAGAGATCGCTAAAATTGAATGCAATTCGCCGAAATTGAATGAAAAGATGCCTATTTTGAGTGCAAAAAGGTGTACTATATAGGCACTCACGTGCTTTAAATCGCGCAATGCAATTGAACCATGGTAAAGACAATGATAAATGAACTGAGAGCTGACATGCCCCATGCTTTGTGTGTGTATGTGTGTGTGTGTTTTTTTTTTTTTTTTTGGCGAGTCGATAAAAGTGGTTTTGGACACTGGATGAGTTTTTAGGGGTGTGGTGAGGGGGGATGTAATTCCACAGACCTTCTGTCAGATTCACTAATGCAGTAGGTCTGTGCGGTGTTTAGTTATCGGAGCATTCTTTGAAAGTCGTGAATAGGGCCACCGAGTACCTAAAGCCGTGATATTCCCCCACAAAAAAACTTCTTTTAAATAACCGGGGATAGGTACATGAGCAGAGTAAATGCTATTACGAACGCCTATCACAATGCTGAGCGAATAGGAAAATCCATAGATGGAGAATTGTGCCGCGTTACGGGTGCTCGGGCGCAGCCAATCCACCGTTACCCCAGCGGTGACCTTGACCCGCATCGTCTGTTTCGGCTCCAAAGCCAAACCGGCGTGAAATTGGGAGCGTTCGAGCACTCATGGTCCAGCGCAATTCTCCACCTAAATCCATTCCTGATACACATTTGCTTGCTCATAGTCATGTAACCCCGGTAAATTCACCCAACTTTCATATTGGTCGCTCCATAGACAGATGGCCACAGAGATCAACTTAAAAGGCCACTGTTGAATTCATTTAGTGGAGATCATTAAAGAGCCGTGACAGGCCACAAGTCGCGTGACATCATACGTGTAACGACCAATGACGTCGGCCTGCAAAACCCAATGGAAGCGGCTAGCAGCGTGCAATAAAACAGGGCGCTGCTTTCTAAATGTCTGTCGTGCGCCATAAATGAATATATTCTTTGTAGCCTGGCAACTCAGTATCTTTTTTTAACTATTGTACTAGTATTTAATAATTTCATAATTTTATAATTGTGCTTACGCTTTATGTTGATATTAGTGATAAATCCTTAGAAAAAGTAAATCGATGTGATATTTAATAGAAAAATAGCAAACTAACGCACCATTCATTCGAAAGCTGGGGAACCTACTAAAAAGAACTACTAAAATTCCTGAGGAACTAAAGGATCAAATGGGGATTAAATAGATGCCTGCTATTCCGTCGTGAAAACGGCCAATGTGGACTAAAAGCATAAATGGGACGTTTTAGAGGGTCTAGTCTAATCAATGAACGTTTATAGGACGACGCTTCTGAGACGTTGCTTGTTTCGAAGGAATGAATACATGCATGTCCCAAGCTCTTGGTGAAGACTGTATGCCAGATGCAGTCAGCTTATCTGCTCGCTTCATGGTCAGCTTTTTGCTCTTCTTGTGCTTCGACTGCAACCGGGCGATATTTTGAACGATGCACATTTGTTTTGACAGTTAACTCATGAATTTCAACCGAGTCTGCATGACACTCACGGTGCAAAGTGCAAACCTCTCCGCGTCGTGGGAGCCTGCCTGTTTCCTGTTCCAGCCGCGCCGGCCCTCCTGTACGGCGGGACAGTCTGCTCTCAGGGGCCCAGCCCGGCTAGGTGGCTGGCTGCTGCGCCGCGCGGGTCTGCCTACCACACAGGGGCCCAGTCGGCGGCCAGGCGGCAGCGTCCCCCCCCCCCCCGTCCCTCCTCCGGTGTCCGCCGGCCCGACTCAGATCCTGTTTCGATGGATCAGTTTGAGACAGTCGGTTTCCGTCGGTGGACGTGTGAGCCCGATGGTCCCTCGCCGTAAGTGGAAGTGCGCGGCTGTGGGCGGCTGTGAACTCGCCTGTGTATGATCTGCTGACCGCTGTTGGTGTGTCGGCAGGATCGGTGACACGTTCGAGGAGATCGAGCGGACGGCCCACCAGCCGCCGGCCGACACGGCCGCCATGATCCGACTGGCCGAGTACATGACCAACGCCATGGGCGTCACCCTGCCGCACCTCAGGTGGGTGGCGGGCGCCGCGGCGCGGCACGGCGGCGGAGGGCGCCGCCCGGCCCGGGGGAGCGACTGACACCGGCCGGGAGGGGGGGGGGGGGAACTAAGTGTTGTGAGAGTGGGATGGTGCTGGCTCCTCGTATTTACCAAGTAAGATATAGAGCTTTGTTGTCGGGATTGTCTCACTGGACCCTCCATGGCTGCTCGGCCGACTCGGGTCGCTGCTGGGGTCTGGTCGCCGGCACCGGTTGCCGGGTGGTCGGTGCGACTGAACGCTGTACGCGCGGGCTACCGCAGGGAGAAGGTGAAGGAGAGCGTCACGCGAATGCTGTACCTGCTCGACTGTGTCGAGTTCACCGCCGACGACATCGAGGTCAACACCGCCACCGCTCTCTGGGTGGACAAAATCAAACCCACCTTCGACTACAGCGCAGAGGTGAGCCTTCCAGTGCTAATCCAGAGAGGGCGCGGCCTGTCGGTGGCCGGTGTAGTAAAATGGGGAGTGAATGGGCTGCTCAGTACGGGAGGGCGGTGCTGTCTCTATGCCGTGGAGAACTGAAGGGAACTATCCTTGAGCCATATTTGAGCTCATTAAGGCAGATGATCTTACCGCATTATTCCTTTTTTATCACCCTATTTTATTGTTTCATTTTTTCGTAGATGTTAAAGTTTAAACGGTAGCCCAACAATGTGTATGTAGCATTATCAGTCACATATGATACAACACATGGACACATTTAATCGGTCATCCTTTTGGCGTAACCCTTTAAAGTTTGTATTGGATCGATAAAGTGGTGTTAGACCGGCCTATTCTGCGAGGCATGTATGCTACACTGTATCTCTGTATGATACACTGTATCTCTGCACGCCCACCAGCAGCTACCACTCCTCTGGCCCGCCCTCCCGCCGTTCATCGGGACGGAGCTCCGTGTCACGCCCCGCTCCCGCTCCCCGCCCTCCCGCCGTTCACCGGGACGGAGCTCCGTGTCACCTCCCGCTCCCCGCCCGTCCCACCCAGGTCATCGAGCAGTGCAAACAGAAGTTCGAGGACGCGCTCACCGAGCGCACCGAGGCGCTCGTCTCGGATATTGAGAAACTGAAGAACCGCGTCCGCGAGCTGGACGACCTGGGAGACGTCAACAACATGGCCGTCTACGTGTCCGACATGCGCGCGCTGCGCCGCAAACTGACCGAGCTCGAGGGGGTCACCGAGTGGATCAATGAGCAGGAGGCGCTCTTCAAGTTCCCCATCTCCACCTACCCGGAGATACACCAGCTGCAGGTCAGTACCTACGAGATACACCAGCTACAGGTCAGTACGAGATACACCAGCTACAGGTCAGTGTATGTACCCAGGGACAGATGAGCTGCAGGTCAGTGTACCCGGAGATACACCAGCTGCAGGTCGGTACCGTTACCCCCACACGCTGCCGACTGGGTGAGGATAGGGCGGGGGACCGCCGGCGGGCTGACTCGGACCGGCTGAAAGTGTGTACGTCAGTGACTCAGGATGTTGCGCCACCAGACGGGGCCCTCCCCGCCGTCTGGTGCTCGACCCAGTCACTGGGTGTCGTTAGTGCGGTGACGGGCGCTCGTGACGCTCGTCTTCCGACGCGCCCCTAATGATATACGTGCGCCGTCGGTAAGCGCTAGCTGACGGCAAGTTTACACAGTTGTGGGCGGGCGGTCTCCTCGACGATGATGTCTGTTGTACGGCGAACGTGCTCCCTTCTCCAGACGCTTCCAAGCTCCCATTTGATACGACGAAAGACTTTTTTACGACACAGCCGACAGTTTGACCAGCAGTTTACACGGCCGGTGGCGGGACGTTTACACTGTTCGCTCGGAAGGCCTTCCCGAGACCTGAAGGTGCACGCGATCGGACGGAGCTCTTAATTGGCTGTTGACGTCCTGCCGCCCGGGCCACCGACCTCGCCGAGTACTGCTCCCACCCAGCACCAAAACACGACGGCGACACGCTGCCGTGGTGCTGTGAGGGGCCCGGGCGCCGACGGGGCTGCAGAAACTGGCAGGGTCGCTCCCAGCACTGCCCGCAGGGCAGACAGGCTCCGTCTGTCCGACTCAGACGGACGAGGTGGTGGCGTGCCCAGATGACTCTTGTGTCTCGTGGTCATTGTCCTATTAGTATGATCTGCCCTGTGATATATTTTTGCGTTTGCTCCGTGATTAGAGCCGCCGTGTCGTGTCACGGAGTTGCCGCGGCGGTGCTCTGTCCACGGCGCCAGGCTGGCTCGGTGGGACCGGCCGGTGTGGCCCGGAGCTCCGCCGCGGCTGCCCCCGGCCCCCGCCGCGCCGGTGTGGCCCGGAGCTCCGCCGCGGCTGCTCCCGGCGCCGCGCCGGTGCGGCGCCTGTTGCGTCCGCCGCCGTGGACCGGCTGCGATGATCGACCGCCGGCTAATGGCCTGTCCGAAATGGCCTCTGTCGCGCCACTCGACGTGACCGCTTAATTGACGGGCCGGCTCCGGGTCGCCGGGTCGGTGTGGGAGTCCCGTCCCGGCCGCCGCCGGCTGGGGTCGCCCGGTCGGTATATCCGAGTCTGTCGCCACCGCACTGACCTCTCCCTCCGAGGGCGGGTCGGTATAGAAGTCTCTATCTCGGCCGCCCCGCCCCGACCTCTAACCGCCGAGGGCGGGTCGGCCGCCGGCCGCCAGTCAAGATCCGGCCGGCGCCATGTCGTCAGAGGGCCATTCCGGCCGATGATTGTCCAGCGCCCGGGCCGGACAGGCGGCTGTCTCCGAGCTGAGTCCCCGGTCCGTCACGGGCTCCCGACTGTACGGTCAGAGGTGCACGGCGCACTCGGATTCATCGAGCGGGAAGGCGCCCGGCATCTGCGACCCAGACCCGAAAATGCGCCTTTAAACGGCAGGACTGGGCTCGTAATTACCTGATCAGGGTTAATCCGGCAGACGTCTGTGGGCGATGATCGGCATTCATCGGCGATATACAAAGACCTGGCTTAATCAGGAGTCTCTCGTTATCGTTATTGATTCGTATTTGATTTTTCCCCTACGTGGCACCAATGGTTGCCTTGTCACTGTTGTCGGACCTCAAGGCGCGTAGCGACGGAGAGCCTTGATTGTTGCATTTGTTAGTAGTTGCAAATAAGTTGATTCAAACACTTTAAGCTAAGTTTTGGCGTAATTTATTCAGTCATTGCATAATATAGTTGTTGCAAGCGAAGCACTAAAGACCAGGGCTGAGGAGTCGATGGATTTTTGGCGCTCCGCCGACTCCGACTCCGACTCCGACTTTCAAAAACTAACTCCGACTCCGACTCCGACTTTCAAAAACTAACTCCGACTCCGACTCCGGGCAGAATTATTGACTCCGACCCGACCGACCCCAACTCCGATTCCGACTCCGCAGACCTGGGATGGCTGCAGAGTCGATGGATTTTCGGTGACTGACTCCGGCTCCGGTTTCCAAAATTGACTCCGACTCCGACTCCGGTCACAACTGTCGACTCCGACCAACCCCGACTCTGCAGCCCTGCTAAAGACAACTGATTTCGCAAGCGGAACTTACCGAGACAGTTCTTCGTATGCCTAAAATGTTTTTGAATTCATGACTGAAGGAGTATCGCTTGTCGATCGCTTGGGCGGTTGCCGAAGTGCAAGGCTGTGGAACTAATCGGGCCTTACTGGACTGGGCCTCTCATACTGAACCCAATCGGTCGCCGCGACTGCTTGCTCATCACCACCTCATGTCTTTTACATGATTGGCACAGTTGAAACGGCAGCTGACTGGGATCAATGATTATTGAGCTCCTATACTGATACGGCTCATTTGGCTCCCACTTTCTATCATCGAACTGACGATAATGTCACACCAGATGGTACAGCGGTTGTATGCCTAGTGACACGGCTACACGCCGACTAAATGTTGATGCCTTGCACACGAGGCGTGCTCCATAAACTCTTGTTTGAGCTCGCTGCCTTCGAGCCATCGTAGTTGCAATGGGGCCGTAAAATACGACCGAAAACATATGACGATGACGTCAGACGTTTACGTCATGTGACCGCGCCGTCTGATGATGTGAGACACGGAGAGGGAGATTCCGAAGCTACCGGCCGCCCACGGAGCGGTGTGCTTCCCGGCCGATCGTCTCCGCCGTATTGGTGCTCACAATACGGTGACCTGTTGGACTGCCGCCGGCCGGCTGGACACGGCGCCATCCATCGAGTGGTGGGTGGCAGGGCTGGCGGAGGAGCAGCGATCGACCGGCCGGCCGCCGCGCTGCTGGGCACACACCGGCCGCCGTATCAGGTGTTGGCGCTGACTGGGTGAGGTCTGATGAGGTCTCCCGGGACCGACGCGCCGCCACCGGTCATACGGGCCGGCCGACAGACCCTGCGCCTCATCACAGCTCTGCCGGCAGACGACTGCCGTGGAGGTAATGGCGTACACACTGGGCACGCTCATGATGAGAAGCGGGGATGTGGCTTATTTCACATAGTCATGTAGCTACATTTTTGAACATTTTAACTTGTGTATGCCATATGTTGATTTCTTTGAAGTTATGACGTATGGCTTTATTTTCCATTTTACTAATCAATTCATTCATTCATTCATGCATGCAAATATTCATTCATTCATTTATTCATTCATTCACTCATTCATTCATGCAATCGTTCATTTATGCGCTCATTCATTCATTCATTCATTCATTCATTCATTCATTCATTCATTCATTCATTCATTCATTCATTCATTTGTTCGTTCGTTCGTTCATTCATGCATACACTCATGCATTCATTACATACCGGTGTTTTTTATAAGCGGACCTTGCATCTAAGCATGTTGATAGGCTGAGTATGCTCGGATTTTACCCGAGTCGCAGGACAGCTATGCACTGAGGTCGGTGATGTAATCCCGCACAGAGTCACTGATACGGCGCCGGTGTGACGGTGTTGACGCGGCTCGGTGGTCGGTCCGGCACGTAGCCACCTGGCGTGACTGGGCGCCGGAGCTCGCCGCCGGCGCCGGAGCCTCTCCATCCGCCGCTGCGGTGTCGGTGGATAACGCCGCCGGGGGCTCCGGGGGCTGCAGGCTGACGTCGGGCGCGCGTCTGGGGCGCCCGCGGCCGGCATCGCAGCCGCCACCAGCGCCGGGGGGTGGACACTAGACAGATGTGGACCATTCCCAATTGTGGTGTGCAATGTGCAATGTGGATGTCCTGGTTTGGTGCGCGGGCCGCGACGGGCTCAGAGCGTCTCATGGAGTGGCATGGGGGGGGGGGAGGCGACGCAATAGGCCGATGAGGCAGCACCAGGTCGGAAAGTACCCATGTGGAGCCTGGAGCTCAGTGGGTTTCGTCTCGGTTCGGCTAAGATTTTATGCATTACGAGTTTCGATCGGTGGATGGCCTCTGAAGCTGATGGACCCTCAAGTCCGGCTGCCCTAAAATCACGTTGGTGGACTACGAACTTTGGTGGGTGGCTTGTGAGCTCATTTATATGTTGATTGTTGATGGTACCCGCAGTTGCTAAATCGAATGATTTGTTTTACGAATGTCGCAGAGCTGACCTGACCGGCCGTGACCGCCGTCTACTCCCCAGGCGTCGATCGAGCCGTTCGCCAACCTGTTCGCGCTAACGCTGCGCTGGCAGAAGACGCTGAAAAAGTGGCTGGACGGCGCGTTCCTCGAGCTGGACGGCGAGAGCGTGGAGGCCGACACGGAGGAGTTCTCCAGGTAATCACAGCTCTGCAGGTACTTACAGAGTTCTCCAGGTACTTACAGAGCTCTCCAGGTAATCACAAAGCTCCCCAGGTACTAACAGAGTTCTACAGGTACTTACAGAGCTCTACAGGTACGTACAGAGCTCTACAGGTACTCACAGAGGTCTACAGGTACTAACATAGTCGACACGGAGGAGTTCTCCAGGTACTTACAGAGCTCTACAGGTACTCACAGAGCTCTACAGGTACTTATACGAGTAGAGCTCTCCAGGTACTCACAGAGCTATACAGGTACTCACAGAGCTCTACAGGTACTTACAGAGTCGACACAGAGGAGTTCTTCAGGTACTTGCTGAGCCTGGAGTCCATCTACCAATTTGGCTGAATTTGAGCAGTGGACACAACTGTGCGCTGGCGGTATACTCTGGGATCCCATGTACATACATTTTTTTATTTAAGCTTTATTTATTTGTGTTATGTCTAATGCATATTTTTATCATTGGTTCATCAAGTCTTTTTCCTTTGGCTTTAAGTTGTCAATAAGACCCATGCAGATGAGCCCTAGCACATAGTCGTAGCTGATTGCCGTTCATGGAGGAGCCGCTATCGCTGCCTGCCAACCCGTCATCCGGGCAGAGCTGGCTACTGCAGCCGGAGTCTACGGTGCACCTATATCAGGCCGCGCACCGTCGATCGCTGCACGGCCCGCTGAGCTTATATCGCAGGATGGGATGGCTACGACCAACCGGGTCGAGTCATCCTAGCGAGTATGTATGCGTTATAATTAAAGTCATGGATGATATTGAGCCGATGTTAGTGAGGGTCGCACCACGTCGGTGAGAACTGGTGATACTGTTGCAATGTTGCATGAGCCGGCAGCTCCGCCCCGCTGACGGACCGGCAGGGGCTGACTGACGGACTGAATGTCTGCTGGCTGGCCGTCCGCTGTCTGCTGGCTGGCCGTCCGCCGGCAGGCACTGACTGACTGCCTGACTGTGACTGAGTGGCAGGCACTGAGTCACTGATTGTCCGCTGACCGATTGTGTGACTGTGACTGTCTGACTGACTGCCGTCAGGGACATGTACAAGCTGCAGAAGGTGATCAAGTCGCGGTTCAAGCAGCAGATCATCGACCAGTCGTCGGGCCGCGGCCGCGAGGAGGGCCGGCCGCGCATCAACGTCGACGACCCCAACCCGGACAACCTGCCCGGGCCGCTGCGCATCTGCTGCAAGACCATCGAGCAGATCGACGCCTTCAAGGTTGGTACATGCCTGCCGCTGCGGCACCGCCAGCCAGGCGGCGGGCTTATCATGGTGATTAGGGCAGGTCTTGTGCTTAGTTTGCTGGCGAATAGACACATTTATTGCTGTCGAGCTTTTCACATTGTGTGACATTCATTTAACATTGATGACAGAAAAGTATTACCGCGTATTGGTGTGTTTGTTCAGCGCGGTGGGTGTTTCTTTCATCTAGTCGCTTCATTTAGCTCGCCAACGAAGTGAGTCGCCCTGCGGCGGCTCATCGTTTATCGCTTCCCTAGAACGACCCAGAGCCACAAAGGAACTGCTGGTCGGCGGCTGCTCCAGTAAAGCGCCGCGTTTGGCCGCTGCCAGGGTCGGTTTGTTTGGGACAAAGGGCCGCCGGCGCCGATAGGCGGGCGGCTGTCGTGTTTTGTCCATTACTGTCCGGTGTCGGGAGTGCCGCGGGTGGCGCCGAGGTGTGTGATGTAGCGAGCTGTCGGCGTTTGTTTGTGGCGCGGCCGTCCGCTCAGGTTACTGTGACGGGCGCGGGGCGGCCGGCGGCGGCACCGGCCGACACCGCTCCGCCCCGGCGCGCGGGTCTGAGGAGCAGCGTGTTCCGCCCGCCACAGCTGCCGCCTGTCGCCTCGGAGGACTGGCGGTGTGCTGCCGCCCATAACGATTGGATCATACAACTGTCTAGTTAACTGGTTGCAGAATGCGACCTCCCGCTGGTGACTGGTTCAAACACACCGCTCGGTGCCCGGTGCCGCTCAGGTGCTCTGTAACCTCCCGCCGGTGCTGGTGCTTTGCACCATACCCTCTGGTGACTGCCCTTCGGTAACATACCGCTGGTGACTGGTGCCGTCCGTTCACAGACGCACCTGCCGCTGGTGTTGGTGCTCTGTAACACACCCGCTGGTGACTGGTGCCGTCCGTCCGTTCACAGACGCACCTGCCGCTGGTGTTGGTGCTCTGTAACCCGGGGATGCGGGACCGACACTGGGCCGAGATGTCCAGTATCGCCGAGCGGGACATCACCCCCGACTCGGGCACCACGTGAGTAGTCACGAACACACCAGCTACCGGACGGGTGAGCCCACGGCGGAGCGGGGCCACGGGAGGGGACTGAGCGGACATCACCCCCGACTCGGGCACCACGTGAGTAGTCACTGATTATATACACTGACCGGAGCCCACGGCGGAGCGGGGCCACGGGAGGGGACATCACCCCCGACTCGGGCACCACGTGAGTAGTCACTGATTATATACAGTATACACTGACCGGAGCCCACGGCGGAGCGGGGCCACGGGAGGGGACATCACCCCCGACTCGGGCACCACGTGAGTAGTCACTGATTATATATGTTACAGACCGTATGAAAACCCAGTCCGTTTGCAAACGGCCTGGCCCAGTCAGGCCGTTTGAAAACGGCCTGAAAAAGCCGGCCGTTTGCAAACCGCCTGAAATATCAGGCCGTATGAAAACGGCCTAGGCAGTTTGAAACGGCCTAGACAGTTTGAAAACGGCCTAGTCAGTTTTCAAACGGTCTGGCGAAGTACAACAGCCTCTGAAGATTGGACTTAATGGATCCAGGTTGGTCGATGATCAGGTTGCATCCATGTGAATGCTTGCGCATTCCATGCCGAATGACTCGTCTACATACGTCGAACATTTTCTTACTGTGCTGATGCTCGGCCCGGCCGTTTTTCGACAATATTACTAATTATACAAGTTCACGGTCCGCCTGGTACGGCCATCCAGTTGATGGAGCCTGCTGAAGCCACTAGTAACTACTGGTGAGGTCTGGTGAAACGTATCACTACAAGACTCACCGATTATTTTGCGGCATAAAACGCCGGAGCGCGCAATGGACATCAGAGTTCATATCAGTGGCGCGGGAACCGGGGGGGGGGGGGGAGGGCTAGCGGGGGCTGAGCCCCTCCAACTTTTCGGCTGGGGGGGGGGGGGCTCGTAATGTATTTGAGCCCCCCCCCCTCCCAGCTGGAGGAATCGAAATCGGAAATCTACCAACATAATTTCATAGATTCATACATAGGCGCGGGAACCGGGGGAGGGGGCAGTGAGGGAAGCTTGCTCCCACAGCTCTGGGGCCGTGGGGGCGGTGCCCCACAACTTTTCATGAGGTTAGGAACCGTTGGGGCAGCTTGTCCTCCCCTAATTAGGGGTTGTGGGTCACAAAGGAAGAAAGCATGTAAGTGAAAAATCCACCTCTTTCACTGGCTGGGCAACTGATTTGGCAGATTAAAACCTTTATTCCAGGCTGCCAAAACGGTAGTTTCTTCACTCAGCTGAGACGGAATACCTGACTTTTTTGCAAATATTTTCGTTTTTTTTACAAAAATAAGTGGCCTAAAACCGGTGAGAAAACTAGATTTGGGGGATACCCTAGGTTGATCTCAATTATGGTTCAGCCCCCCCCCCCCCCAGTCTGGAAGAAGTTCCCGTGCCACTGGTTCACATTAGAGTCCTCACCGCGCCCGGTCGACCGCCGGCGGCTGGCCGGTGGCGTACGCCGGCAATACACTGGTCAAGACATGGTCAAGACAATGGTCAAGACAATGTACTTGACCATTGCGGTGGAAGGCGAAACTTTGAAGTCCGGGGGAAGCCCGGGTCGACCGGGCGCTATACGGGCCGGGTCTCAGTTCTGCTAATCTCTTCCTGACCAGGCCTGCATTCGTCATCGGGAACATCAGGGAGAATTTTCCGGAACTAGCGAGAATCATCGGGGATCACGAACGGTATCGCGATAACGAGACATGCTGAAGATAGGCGCTCAACAATAATTTTCCGACGGAGAATATCCGAGTGACAATATTTTCTGGATGCCGAATGCACCTCAGGATTTCATGGTGCCATGTAATGTCATGAAACGGTCGTGCTTCAATAAACTCAACATTGTCCAGCTGTAACTTTATGCAGACCAAATTGTTTTCAAAATGCCTAGACCGTTTGCAAACGGCCTGGTGTCTGGAAAGTTGTCATACGGCCTAGACAGTTTGCAAACGGCCTGAAATTTCAGGCGGTTTGCATACAGCCTGGAATTTCAGCCCGTATTCAAACGGCCTGACTTTTCAGTCCGTTTGCATACTGACTGGGCTGTCCAGGCCGTTTGCAAACGGCCTGAATCGGGCCAGGCCGTTTGCAAACGGACTGAGTTTTCATACGGCCTGTAACATATACACTGACCGGAGCCCACGGCGGAGCGGGGCCACGGGAGGGAGCTGAGCGGACATCACCGCCGACTCGGGCACCACGTGAGTAGTCACCAACACACCAGCTACCGGACGGGTGAGCCCACGGCGGAGCGGGGCCACGCCTGCTGAGAGGCCAAAACGATATTGGATATTACTATAAATGTCAAACTCATTGAATGTAGGTGGAGTTTCTATAACAAGTGGTGCTAAGATATAAGCCTCGCAAGGCTGCTCATAATAAAAATATCGTTAATCTACGAAAGACTACGCTCGCTTCGCTCGCTCCGTAATTAATCACCGTGAAATGGGCCTAGGCGTAAACATCAAAATTGTTGCGGGCGAAACATGTGCAACCAGTTCATGTGAACTTTCGAACATCTTGACTAACGACCTTCACAGCATCATTCTGCACGAATTTCGGGACAGAAAACGGGTACCTACTGAAATTATAATGATGCTCGTTAGTGGCAACAATGCTAGTATCAAGGTTGTCACGAAGGATGTCGAACCTCGACCGCTGCGGCCCCATATCCAGTGCATATGGATGTCTTCTAGAAATCGCTCTGGTATCGTTATTACGAGCATCCATCAACCTGCCAAAGTAGATGGTGGGACGGATAAAAATTGCCGCGAGTTAGCATGATGGAGCAAAACTTCTCTGTTTGATTTTGAGGAGAGTTAATAACGCAAAGTGCTTTCCACTTGCGACTTGCCATACGGGAAAGATAAGTTTTTGAAGCATTTTCAGGTTTTCCTTTTATTTACTTTGCCAGGTGACTGACTACAATGTGGCTGGCCCAGTTGGAGGCAGCTTCGCCCGCCTGCGAGCAGTGGCGCAGCCAGGATTTCGTTTCGGGGGGGGGGGGTCATCGCTTCCAAAGCGGGCCCCCTAGTGTGCGGGCCCCCACCCATTTTTCAGAATATCTCCATATTTCATACGCATTCTGCTGGGCGGGCCCCCTTTACCTGCACGATAACCCTGAGCGAGTTTGAATCAGAAAATTTGCATAGAACAGTAGCTCGTTAATCACCCGGTCTTCACTTTTTACGCAAATTGACCACGACAGAAATATGTTACTATGACGTATAACTTCGTATCTTTCGAGTCCGATATGAGCCCCAATTCCGCAATATGCATAGCATATTATATGCAATCGGAACTGTTGCCTGCTTCTGTCGCACAAGATTTAAAAGTAGTCCCATGTGCCTGTCCTAAGTCATCTATTGGCTGCTGTAGTAGATTGTGCTTTTATTCTTCTTCATTACGTGAATTCGCTCGTAAGAAGTTTTAACCCTCGCCGGCACAGGGGGGAGGGGTTGATGCAACCCCCTAAGGTTTTTTTTCGCGAAGAACTCGCGTAAAAAAGCGGCTGATCGCGACGTAACTTCCATAGTGCGCTGAAATTCGCGCAACTTATAGAACAAGGATGGGTAACGTGCCTGTGAAGAGTCACAGCTCGATCGGGCCGGTGGTGAGCACATGGCGCGTGCTCAAAAAGTGCAAATTCGCGTCATAGACTTTACATGCATAAATCGGCTTGCAAAAATGGGCGACAATGGCTCAACTTGCCCGACACGGGTCCGGTCCCCGTGCAGTATCTCGGTAACCGTGGGTCCGATCGGCACGAGGAACACAGTATCGTGCATGAGAATCGAACGGGCTATCGAATGGTGTGCGGTGCAGGGATGGCACGCGCCACGTGCACCCGTGAGGGCACTTATGCTTGAAAAATTGACGTTTTGGACGGATTTTGGACTTAATGCTATTTTTGGGTGACTGTCAGACGGAGCGGGTTCAAACAACGCTTGTTGGCAAGAAAAATGTACCTACCGCCTCTCATGGGAAAATTGTGAAAAGCTAATTGATCAAAAACAAGGTGGAACAAATTGCTGGAGAAAATAGCATTTGCTTATGACTTACTTAATTACAGGGGTTTTGCTACATAACCTGGTATGTTTGACAATTGAAATGGGCATAGATTGGAAGAGCATTCAATTGTGACCAAGGTCCAATCATCGCTTTTGCATGACGAGCAACAATATTCTTAAGAATATAAATGTTTCAAACCTCTACATAGTAATTCATCGATGGCTTTCACTCTTCAATAACCTACGCCAACCTATGTCATGAAATACACTTGGCATGTTCTATAGTAGAACGCATGGTTATTATCAGACACGAGCACCTCGATGCGATGGATATTTTTCCCAAAACCAAAATGCTTAGCCGTCAAAAGGCAATCGACCGTAATGGATACATAACCCACAGACACAAGACCAACCAAACGCCCACCGATCGAAAATACCCCTTATTCGCGTTGCGAAGCAAGCGGGTCACCCTAGCGGGCCCCATTCACCCGGGGGCTCGGGCCCTATCCACATGGGGGACCAAGCCCTATCCATACGGGGGCCCGGGCCACGTTCACCTGGGCTCCGGGCCTCGTCCACCCGGGGCTCCGGGGCCCGCCCACCAGGGGGCCCGGGCCCCATCCAGCCGGGGGCCTGGGCCCCGTCCACCCGGGGCCTGGGGTCCGTACTCCCGGGGGCCCGGACCCATCCATCGGGGGGCCCTGGCCCCATCTACCCGGGGGGGGGCCGTGCCCCATCCACCTAAGGGGCCCGGGCCCGTTCTCCCGGGGCCCGGGCCCCATCCAACCGGGGGTCCGGCCCCGTCCACCCGGGGGGCCCGGGCCCGCTCTCCCGGAGCCTCGGGCCCCATCCACCCGAGGGGCCTGGACCCGTTCTCGCGGGACCCGGGGGTCCGGGCCCCGTCCACCCGGGGCCCGTTCTCCCGGTGGCTCGGATCCATCCACCGGGGCCCCATCCGCCGGGAAGCC